GCTGGCCCTTATATGTGGGATCCGAACCGGGGCCCTCTGGCATCCCAAGCGAGTTCTTAACCATCGCGCCACTCGGCCGGCCCAGCTTTGTATTTTAGATAAGATCTTTCCCACCCACGTTATGTTTTTAAGATTTTTCCTAGATGTATGTTTACCGATCTTAAGCAATGCTTGACTCTTTAGTTAAATATGTAACAGAATTCATTATATTTTAAGATTTCCTCTGGTATAAATTTCTTTTGCTTAGTAAAGAGTGATCGTTTCTAAAGGCCTTCCACACTAATTATATTTGCAAGTTTTTCTCTAATATGTATACCTGTGATATTTGGTTATCAATGAAGAATGGATCAAAATTTTCCCATCTTTATTGTAAATGTTGGTTTCGATACTGAAAAGGATCCTTTCCCAATTGTGAAAACTGATGAACATTTTGATATATTTTTTAACTTGATTGGACTTATAATATGCAACCTCAGTTTTAATCTCTATGGGTTAACCTGATTTAAATCCAACCCTTTTATCAAATCATTTTATGCATGTTTCTGATAAAAGTGAGCTGGCATTTTGGGATGCTGGGAGGACTGTGGGTGGAGCTGGGCCCCTTGTTAACTCTGTAATCCTGGCTTCCTGTTTAACATTGTGGTAGCTTCCGGGGGAGAAACAATAATAAGTGAGAATAACCATCTTGGATGGAGAGTGCTTTTTCTTCACGTGGGCAGCCAGTTGGAGCTCTGTGTTGAGGTGTGCGTTCTTGCACTGCAGTGGTGTTTGTTTCTTTTTCTTTTCCCGAATAAACCTCTTTTTTTGTGGATTATTTGGAGAGTTACTTTCGCCAGTCAACATTTTGGGAGCCTCCTTCCGGGATCCAGAGAGGAACAGAACTCCCACGGTTCTGACCAGTGAGCAAAGCTATGGCTCCTAACGGAGCTGTTTCGCTCGATTCTTTGCTCCCTGGCTTAGAAGCCTTGGGTGAGTTTCTCTCCTGGATTGACCTCAGCCAACCGACGTTTGTGTCTGGCGCTCTCCAGGCTTTATTCAGGAATTTTTTTTCAATTTTTTTTTTTTGTTGTTCATTTGTTTGTTGCTGTGTGTGTGTGTGTGTGTGTGTGTGTGTGTGTGTGTGTGTGTGTATGCTTTCAGGCCTATTTCTTTGTGTACTCGTGGCACGTTGGCTTGCTTTCTTCCGGAAGCAGGCTGTCTTTTGAGACAAAAACTGGCTTCACCTAACGTCCCTTTGGGGATGAGGTTATTTCTACTGAAATTGGTCGGTTTGGTTGATATTAGATCGTGCTATCAGTGAAAAGTTAACGGAGTGCCACGCAGCTCAGCCAATAACCGAACTCCCTGAGAGTTGGGTTATTTGCCTGGAACTGGCTCTAGCCTTCAGTCTGATTCCCAGCAATTAGGCTGTTCCAGAGTGAGATTGGAGCAAACTGAAGATTCCCAGTTTGCTTGAGTTGTGAAATAATTTTGGCCCAGTGCCAGCTCAACCTGTAACTTAAACTCCCTAAGAGTTAGTTATTCACCTGGAACTGGCTTTTAGCCTTCAGCCTGGTTCTCCATGATCAGACTGTTCCAGAGTGAGGTAAGCTGAAGACCTGCAGGCTATAAGATCTGTAAATTG